CAAGTGTTCGTCAAACAACTCATGTATATATTTATGCATTTCTTACTTCAGGCAATATAATTCATATTAACCAAGTTTTCTATTTTTTTCCTCTATTGCTCCTTTACTTTCTTTCTCTGCATATTTGATGCTTTCTGTTATGAATTGGTAAGAACATGGTATCAGAGAAGTGAATTGATCCTTAAGTCATTTAAATTCTTGCAAGCAATCTCAAAATCTCATCTTCCATCTACTATAACTAAACTCTTTCAAACAATGTCAAGTTCAACCTCAACTGTTTCACAGTCACCTCCTTCATTTGATGGTTCAAACTATGCTGTTTGGGCCATAAAAATGAAAGCATTTCTAAAAGGTGTTAATCTTTGGAATGCTGTTGAGTTTGAGACTAAATTACCAGTGCTGAAGGAGAATGCCACATAGGCACAAGTGAAGCAATATGAAGAAGACATTGCAAAGAGATATAGAGCTCTGTTTTTCATACACTCAACTGTGTCTGAATCGGTTTTTAATAGGATAATGGGATGTGAGACTGCAAACCAGGCTTGGAGTAAGCTTAAGAAAGAATTCTTGGGGTCTACAAGGAGCAAAAAGGTGCGTTTGCAAAATCTCAGAAGGAAATATGAGCTTGTAAGAATGAAAGAGAATTAGATGGTAGGAGAATTTGTTGAAAATTTGATGAAATTGGTAAATCAGATCAGACTCATAGGGGATTCTCTCACTGACTTAAAGGTGGTAGAGAAGATTATGTTAAGCTTACCAGAAATGTTCGATCCCACAATAACTTCTCTGGAGCAAGTAAAGGATATTACATAGCTTTCAATATCAGACTTGGTTAGTGCTTTAGAAGCTGATGAACAGAGGAAGGCAGCAAGAAGAGATGAAAGAGTTGATCATGCATTGGCAGCTCGTGCAAAAGGTAAAGCTCCTGTTGATATTTCATTTAAAAAGAATTCAAATGAAAATAAAGAAAAAGACAAAGCTGGTACAGCTACTGGAAGGTTTCAAAACAAAAAAGGCAAGTTTTCAGTCTGTTCTTATTGCAAAAAAAAGAAGTCATTCTGAAGCCTATTGTTGGTTCAGACCTTGGGTCAAATGCAATGCATGTAAGCAGCTAGGACATGTAGAAAAGGTTTGCAAGAATAAGCTGAAACTGCAGACAAAAAACCATAGATTGCAAAACAAGTTGAGAAAGCTGAAGTTGCAGAGGAAGTTTTGTTCATGACTATTGAAGTTTTTAACTCAACAAATAATAATCACTAGCTTCTTGACAGTGCATGTTCTAATCATATGACTTCAAAGGTTGAGTTATTCTCTGAACTGGACACTGATCATTTTTCTTCAGTTAAAATTGAAAATGGTTTTGTACTGGATGCTGTAGGGAAAGGAACAGTTGCAATCCAAACTGCTTCAGGCACCAGGTATGTTTTGAATGTTCTTCTGGTTCTTGAAATAACTCAAAATTTATTAAGTGTTGGCCAGTTAGTTGATGAAGATTATATGTTGGTATTTAAAAACAATGCATGCACAGTTTATTAACCTTTTGGTGTTTATATGATGTCTGTTCCTATGGTGAGAAATTGTTTTCCTATTAAATGGGGAAATTTGTGCTTGTCTGCAAGAGAATCTTCATCAGAACAAACCTATTTGTGGCACAAAAGGTTAGGCCACTGTAATTATAGGTCTTTACTGCAAGCAAGTGCCTCTGGTTTATTGTTGGATCTTCCTAAATTGCATGGAGATGGTCTTATATGCAGCTCCTCCTGTCAGTATGGTAAGTTGACTAGAAGGTCTTTTCCTAAGTCAAGCTTGAATAGAGTAGAACATAGATTGGAATTAGTTCATTCGGATGTTGCTAGACCCATGAGTGAGCCATCTTTAAATGGAAGCAAATATTTTGTTATTTTCATTGATGATATGTCAAGAATGACCTAGATTTATTTTATACAGCATAAGTCAGAGGTGTTTGCAGTGTTTCAGAAATTTAAGGCAAAAGTTAAAAATGAATCAGGTTGCAAGATCAAGACACTGAGAACAAATAATGGAGGTAAGTATACTTCTTCAGAGTTTACAAGCTATCTGGCGAAGGAGGGTATTCATCATCAATTAACAGCTCCATATTGTCCTGAACAGAATGGTGTTAGTGAGAGGAAGAACAGAACAATGGTTGAGATGTCCAGGTGTCTTTTGTTTGAGAAAAGCTTCCCAAAAACTTCTGGGCTGAGGCAGCTAATACAACAGTTTATCTGCAAAATATTTTAATCTCTCAAGCTGTAAATAATGAAACTCTTTATGAAGCTTGGTATAGCATCAGACCTTTTGTGGATAACTTGAGGATCTTTGGATCCATTTGTTATCTCCATGTTCCTAAAGAACTTAGAGATAAGCTCCAGCCCAAGGCAAATTTGGGAATTTTTATAGGTTACAGTCAATAATCTAAAGCCTACAAAGTTTATCAAATTGAATCTGGTAAAGTTTCTGTTAGTAGACATGTAGCATTTGATGAAGGAGCATACTGGAACTGGGAGAAATATCAAGTGCAATATACCAGATTTTCAGATGAAGATGTTAACCCTCAACCTGTAAGCAGTGATGAGATGCTTGATACAGATCAAAATGTAGATGAACCTCCAATGAGAGGTACTCGATTGTTACAAGAGATTTATGAAAACTGCAATGCAGCAATATCTGAACCTACTACATCTGAAGAAGCAATTGTGTTACCAGAATGGAAAGAAGCAATGAAAGAGGAAGTGAACATGATAAATCTCAACAAGACATGGAGTTTAGTGGAGAGGCCTAAGCATCATCATGTTCTTGGAGTGAAATGGGTATTTAGAAAGAAATTGAACTCTGATGGTTCTCTGAACAAGCATAAAGCAAGGCTTGTTGTCAAAGGCTTTGCTCAACTGCCTGATGTAGATTATCATGAAACATTTGCGCCTGTTGCAAGAATGGATACCATTCGAATTGTTGATAGCATTGTCAGCTAACTTTAAATGGAAAATATTCCATCTGGACATTAAATCTGCTTTCTTGAGTGGTGATTTGCAGGAAGAAATTTTCATTGAGCAACCTTATGGTTTTGAAATTGAGCCTCACCGAGACAAGGTGTACAAACTTCATAAGGCACTCTATGGTTTGAAGCAGGCACCACGTGCCTAGTACTGCAAGTTTGATGACTATTTAAAGAGTCAAGGATTTCAGAAGAGCAGTAATGAAGCTACCTTGTATATACAGAAGGCTGGTGATCAAAATCCTTTGATTATCTCATTATATAATGATGACATGTTAGTTGCAGGAGGAGATGATCAGAGAATTGCAAAACTCAAGCTTGAAATGCAAAACAGATTTAAAATGATTGATCTGAGACAGATGAACTATTTTTTGGGACTACAGATTCTTCAAAGCAATACAGGAATTCATATGTCCCAATCAAATTACATTAGTGAAGTTCTGGACAAGTTAAAAGTGTCAGATTGCAATATTGTAGGAACTCCACTTGTTACTCATGAAAAGCTGTCAGTTGATAAAGGATCTGTGCTTGAAAATCCTTCAACATTTAGAAGCTTGATAGGATCTTTGCTTTATGTTTGTGCTTCAAGACCTGACCTGATGTTTGCTGTGAGTTATCTGTCCAAATTTATGCAGGTTCCAACCACTCAGCACTTTTCAACAGCTAAAAGGGTGCTTAGATATTTAAAAGGCACTATTAATCTTAGTCTTCAGTTCGCTTATTCTGATGAAAAATCAGTTGAGTTAGTTGGTTTCTCGGATAGTGATTGGGCAGGCTGTGTGGATGACTGCAAAAGCACTTCTGGATATGTGTTTACACTTGGAAATGGTGTTTTTTGTTGGAATTCAAAGAAGCAAGAGACTACTGCTCAATCCTCTGCAGAAACAGAGTATATAGCAGCAGCTACAGCTGCAAATCAAGCTATCTGGGTGAAGAAAATTTTAACTGATCTTGGCTTTTTTCGTGTGCCTCCAGTTAGGTTGTATGTGGACAACAAATCTGCTATTGCCATGGTGAAAAATCCTGTTTTCCATAGCAGAACAAAGCATATCAAAGTTAAATACCATGCCTTGAGAGAAGCTGAGAAGAATCAAGAGATATCTATTCAGCATTGTAACTCCAGTGATCAACTTGCAGACATTCTGACTAAATCCCTGCATCTGTCCCGGTTTGAAGAACTGAGGAGAACATTAAATGTTCAACAAGCTAGTGTTTAGGAGTGTTGAGATAAAAACTAGCTTGAGTGTTATTTTGTTTAAATATGTTTTGTACAAGTGTTCGTCAAACAACTCATGTATATATTTATGCATTTCTTCCTTCAGGCAATATAATTCATATTAACCAAGTTCTCTGTTTTTTTTCTCTATTGCTCCTTTACTTTCTTTCTCTGCATATTTGATACTTTCTGTTATGAATTGGTAAGAACACTAAGAACCCTTAAGCCCAATTTAGTCATCCATGATTTTTTGCAACCATGGGCAGCAGCAGCAGCAGCTGAGCATGATATTAGAGCTGTCATGTTCATAGCTACTGGTGCTACAGGTAGCTCTTCAGCGGTCCACTATGCGAAGAACCCTACCATGGAACATGCTATCCAGGAAGCTGAATTCAAGAAATCTCTTCAGTGGTTTGATGGTACAGAAAATGGTATCACGGACAAAGAGTTTCTTGGAATGCTTAGGAAGATCGTCTAACATGGTATTGATCAAGTCATCAAGAATGATTGAAGCTTCGTGCGTTGATTATATGTCAGTTTTACTAGGGAAGCAGGTGGTTCCTCTTTCAATGGCTGAGCAAGAAGGAACCTGCTTCAGTTGTCTTAGTTTTCTTTTTGAAGTGAGTGTTTTCTTTCAAAGAAAGAGGAGGAGGAGATAGCTCTTGGGCTAGAACTTAGCAAGGTGAGCTTTATATGGGTTGTGAGATTTCAAGGTGGAGATTATAACATTTGTACCCCTGAAGCCTTATCGGAATGCTGTTCTGAGAGATTTGAGGAGAGAGGCTTTATATTGCAAAGATGGGCTTCACAGGCAAAAATACTTGGGCATTCAAGCATAGGGGGATTTGTGAGTCATTGTGTCTGGAATTCAACCGTAGAAGGAATGATCTATGGTGTACCAATCATAGCCATGCCTATGAAGCATGATCAGCTTTTTAATGCCAAGTTGGTGACAGAGCTTGGTGTGGGCATGAAGGTGCCAAGAGAGAATGGCAAGCTTAAAAGTGAGGAAATTGTAAGGATTCTCAATGAAGTGACGGTGCAAGAAGTGGGGAAAGAATTGAAGGCTAGAGCTAAAGACGTCGGCCAAAGGTTGAGAGTGAAAGGAGAAGAAGAGACAAACTTAGCACTGGACCAAATACTGCAGCTTAATAATAGCTTTTGAAAGCATCAAAGACTACCTAAATACATGCGACAGATCAGGCCTTTAATAAGCAGAATTCAATCTATGTATTTCATTTTTCTAATAAAAGTTGCAATTTTTAGTTGCTTCAGTAATCTTGAAGGAACAGAGATTTATTTGTAAATTCCAGGATTAGCCAGAAATCGTTAGTTGCTTAGATTGCAGATATATCTTTGTTCTACTGTCATTGTTCTAGAAAGCCTAGCTAGTAGGTTTCTCTGCGGTGGCCTTTGGTTAATGAAAATTAACATTAATTAATCCAATGAATTGATATTTTCATAATTTAAGAACCAAAGTTCAACTTTGTCTTACATCATTCACTTTTGATCTTCTCCAGAATGTATCTGTGTTAATCGATAAATTCAAATTCTCTAATCCTAATGAAGTGATCTTAAGAAAAGCTTAAGGAAAATGAAAAAGGCCAAACTTGAGCAAGAACTGTATTCTGGGACGATGATGACTGACATGTAAACCTTTCTGAAATATGTTGGGAGTTGAGACATAGTTGGCAAATTCTAGGCTCCAAACAAAACAATCAGCCAAGCAGAAAGCTCATAATTTGACTCTTAAAATGTCCAAGGTCACTAAAAATTAAGTGGTTGTCTCCATTCTCCATTAATGCTACACCTCGACCATAAAAACAAATCAGACTACCAAACTTTTGACTAATTTTGAGCTTGATATCTGTATGTAGTAATCACTTTATTGGGAAAGCCCTCACATCTGTTAATGTGCACATACACTGTACTGGTGTATAAAAAAGTCTAGTGAGCCTCGAAAGGTTCTCTAAGAACCTTGTCGTATTTATATTAAGAGTTACCAAAGAGATCACTCATGACGACAGCACAACAGACAACAAGTATTCTCATGTTACCCTGGTTAGCTCATGGCCACATTTCACTCTTTATAGATCTAGTCAAGATCTACAAAGCCAGGTGTGTGGCTTATATTTGTGAATTAATGGGAAAGGAGATGAATCCTGTTGGCACTCTTGTCGAAGAATCTGCATATAGAGATGATGACGCGGCGGTAATATATGAGAAGGAGAGTAATATATATCTCAAGTCAACTTCGGTGCCGACCTCGCGTTCTTTTGTTTCCTTTTAATTTTCATTCCTTTACGATTTTCGCTTTCAATTTCGATCCGTTTACGATTCCTTATGGAAGATCGTACACAAATAAAGTGGAATGGTGTGGTCCAAATGTGCTTCTGTGTCTATGTTTTCCAATGGACTCTAGATTTCATCACGTGTGTAATTCTAGGAAATATGAGTGAAAAGAAAGAAGAAAAATTGTAGCCCTGGCAGAGCAAAATATAAAACATAAACAGGGAAAAGGCAACTTTGATTGGATCTGTATTATTTTTCAATCGTCCTCTATGAAGGAAAAAACCCAGATCTCAACAGCACTTTCAGTCTTTCAATCTAGATCATGAACAACCTTCGGAAAAGGAAAGAAAACAGAAAAATTATTTTTCTGTTGAACGTATATACATCCCCACTGGGAGCTTGGTTTTTTATCTAAAACGAAAAAACCAACCTCCCAGAGCAAAAACAAGTTTCTTGTTTTTTTTTTATTTAATTTTTTTCGTTAAAGGCAAATGATTGGGTCGGGAAGGTCATAGAACCAAATATGGTGATGCTTGCAATGTGGAAATTGTTGCTATGATTATATATATAGAGTGAGAGAGAGATAGAGAGAGAGTGTGTGTGTGTGTTTCGCAGAAGAACATAGCAAGACAAGAGTTAGGTGGAGCAGCGCCTTGAGGATCCGAACATTTGATCAAGAAGGATGACGAAAGCCATGGCATAGTCCGTCCTGATGTTGTCAGGCTGAACGAGAAGGCGGAAGATGTCGGTTCCAAAGGCGACTCCTCCGACAGCCTCTTTCCGCTTGATCTCTGCTACTAACCGCCGCTTGTCATCGTAAACGGCACAGCATCTTTGGGAATACGAGCCCTCGATCTCGTACATGATGTTGTTGTTTCGGTTGTTGGTGCTGCCGGGGCTAACGTATGCCAAGCACTTGCTGTTTAGGATGTTCACCGATTTCCTGACTGAAAGTCGGGGATTCACTGAGGTTTCTCCCTCGTAAACCAGCCAGCTGTCCCCCAGGCTCATTTTCTGATCACATAGACGTCGAAACAACATCATCCTTAAGTTAATTTTATCATATACTAATGAATTAAACGACAAAAGCAATCACACGATCCTAACTTTATTCTAACCCCAATGACAAGCTATGCCTACTTGACTTAGATTTAAACAAAACAAGGTACCTTGCGGCGGATGGTGAGGAGAGGCTTGCCAGTGGCATCCATGAGAAGGATCTCACCCTTGTTGCCTTCCATGTAATTATCCACCCTGTACACCAAATCACCTTTACCATCAAACACCGTGAAGCCGTTACAGTTGAAAAGCAACGATTTTTTCCAGACGGTTAGAACTGCCTCCCTCTTGTGATCATCAGCTACTAACAGCTTAGGCGCCGTCATGGAGATGGCATCGCTGCCAGCGTTAAAGCTAGCGTTGGGATAAACCCTCGTCATTCGCGTAAAAGGTTCCAGCCTTTTAACTCTCGGAGATTGCAAGTCAACTCCTGTAACACAATGGCAGAAAAAAACGGAGCAAAAAAGGGCAAAGGCAAAAGAGGAAGCCAACCTTGCGAGAGCTTGTATGGGCGAGTTAGGCAGAGAGCATTAATAATATATAAAGGGTAGAATGGGCGGACACCCGGAAGAGAGAGAACAAAAGGGGCGCACCAATTGGGTACAAAAGTCTACCACGAGTGCGCCACCATCTAATGACGTTAAACCAGCATTTGATTGGACCAAGAAAATAGTTGAAGAAAGTGAAAGGGAAAGGGATGGATTGGATGATGGGCATCGAGCCATCGATGCTTTTGATAAAGACGAAAACGTTTTCAGGAAAAAAAAATTAGCTCCACCCTATCTTTACTTCAAAGGAAGCTAATATTCATTAAGTTGGTAGTAATTAAATAAGCCGAAATTTTGTGGCTGAGAACTGATTTGCGGTGGGAAGAAGTGGACACTTGTCGACTGCGCAATGCACTCTGCTAGATATTTTTCTGCCGATGTTCCATTGACATTTCTTGCTATTATAATTCTAGTAAACACCAGTATATTATAATTAAGCTTACTATTAGAATGTGATTGGGGCAGGACGTCTTTGAGCGAGTGCGACGCCCCTTATCTCCATGGAGCCATTTTTATTTGACGCGTACAGATAAGGTTTCTTTCACTTTGGCACTCACAACCCTTTCGCTTTTTTCTCGTCTAGTAACCCCGTTTATCGGAACAAAAAACACGTGGATTCTTTTATTTGAAAGGGCCAACTGTCGACGTACATTTTCATTTCTTTCAGTCTCGGATCATTTAGTATGAACCTTGTCGAGGGACGATGCCGCAAATCATAGAAGGCTGAACCCCAGCGCTACAAGGATTTCCGCCCTCGTTGGGGGTGGACGAGCCATTTGGGCCGAGCCCTAAGTTGATACAAGTTGAGATTTCATTACCCTATTGTCAAACATGGACACTATAAGAAAGTTTTCTATGTTGTTTCGCCCTTTTTTTTTTTTAGAGTATTCGTGTTTAATACATGATATATAAGAATGAAAGTTTGATCCTTTAAATATATAGGAGAATTTTAAGAAGAAATTGAAATATTCATATTCAAAACTCATTCCCAGAGTTGAGTAACATAAGTATTTCACAGGTCTAATATTTTTAAAAAATTTAAATTATTTTAAAAATATAAATAAATACTTATTTTTTATTAAATTTAATCAAAATTTTATATTTTTATTTTACATTGTATAATTTATTTTACATTAAATAAACTTTATAACTAATAATTAATTAAATATTATTAATTAAAATATCACAAGTAATTTTTATGTCACATAATGTTTACGTAAAAAAGTAAAAATATTATAGGGTCACGTACTTATATCATATCAACATGTCACATTATTATTTGTTATGATATGTCAACATGTTTCATCAATATTATGTTACATAAAATAACAAGTGACGTTTTAACTAATAATTTTTAATTAATTGTTAATTAAAAGGATTTATTTAATTTATAATAAAAATATAGAAAATTTTCAATTCTACTGTAATTTTTTTTCAGGTAGAGTCTTACTATCGTGGGACTCTATTTTATTAATAAATTCCTTTTGCTATTCAATATATATATATATATATAATTGAATATAATAAAAAGGTATAAACTTATTTAAATTTTTTTGAACAATTGAATACTTTTTTCAAGTATTATGCTTATTTAGTGTTGAAGCAATTGACTATAACAAAAAACCAAATCTTTGCATCACCATAATTTGGCATAAAAGTGCTTTAGAGTAAACGTGTGTATATTCTCCCCTGCATTTTAATTAACTCTGATGCATAAAGACAGTCTTTCTGTAAAATCTAAATTATAAAAAAAAAAAAAAAAAAACTTCCACAATCAGATATGGTTCTGGAGTGGAGATATAAGCACATGGCTGTTTAAGAATTTTACTTGATAAGGAAGCCTTGGAAGTAAGTAGGGTCCTTTTTCTCCTTCTATTCTGAGTCTGTAAAGAAACAGTGAACAGGGCCTTGTGGGATTAAACCACCGGACAGGAGTCAAAGAGATTGATTAATTAATAATCAAGTTAACTTAGCTGACCTAACAAGAAACATATGCACCGGAGAGAGGTTTTTCGTGACTGGTTACCTAAAACAACTTGCTGCATACTGTTTTGTTACGAGTTGGAATATAGTATTAGTATCATTGGAGTTTTGCTCTTTTGGAAAAGATGCAGCACATATATAATGGCATTACATAAGTTAGCTTGGTTGTCTCTGCCATGAAATAATATTCTCAGAATTGGGAAACTATTAAAGAAAAAAAGCATTGAAATGTTCCTTGTTAAAGCAAACAACCGGAAACCTTCATTTTATGTTTAGACTGGCTAATGAGTAATGACCTTGCAACCTGGTGGCAGGTCTGGGATTCGTGTCTAGGCATTAGAGAGACGGTGATGAAGAATCAGGAATTTTGTAACTCAGATTATGATTTCCTCTTCCCTGTTTGGCAGGTTGTACTTTATCTTGACACTAATGCAACCAGATCTTTACTGGACATAATGTAACAGCACAACATGTCAGAATTGGATTAGGAACTGGATGAATCAAAATATGGACCTAGTTGCAAGTTTCTGACCTCTGAGTGGGATAAATTGGAATCGAATTCTTGAAATTATTGACCAAATTTTTATGGTGGCACATCTCTTTTTTGAGTTAGATAGGTGGCTTGCTGACAAACACATGAGCAATTCACTATGCAATGGTGGCTGAGCAAGCATATCCATACATTCAGTACAAGAAAGTTGACCTGTTCAGTGACAAACCTGCTCAGTGACTACTTTCCTAGATCAGAAAACTTCCCATGAAGAACCAGTGAAAACATGGACAGAAACAATAAATGTACCAAACATCAGAAACCTGGGTCTAATTACAGCACACAAAGCAGATCATGTAGTTGTAGTCAGCACAATTTAGTGAAGGGTTTCGATATTTTTGCTCAGCTCGTCCAGCTTCTTCATCCTCAATTTCTCACTTTCACTCACCAGCTAAACCAGCATTTGACAGAAAGGAGAAAAAAAAAAGAAAAGAAACATGTTAATTAGAAATTGTCAGAACAAGATTTGATCAAAGTAAATTAATGCTCCTATTGAACCGTTAAGCAGAACAAATATTCACCTCCATTAATTTGCTAACCAGTTGAGCTTTCTCCTTATTCTTGTCATTGAAGGCTTCAAGGGCTTCTTTGTATTCTCTTTCCTGTGATTACCAAAACTCTTGAGGGGCTAGGCACCAACTATATCTACTTGAATATATATATATATTGAACTGTCATGCTGTTCTTATAAAATGATAACAAAAATTGCAGTCATAGAACATGTAAATTCTCAGCTTCAAGAAGCATTTAGATGTCCATTTGGTTGCATCAAATGATGAGAGGTTATACCAATAATCATCAAAATTATTACTAACTAAGCCCTCTATTGCCATTTGATACACAGTGTAATAGTTCATAATGAATATAATATTTTTCACCTTCTTCTGGCAGCTCTGTCCCAATGGTTTCAGCTCCCGGTTAACGGTGTCTATCTTCTTGCGTACATTTGCAACTTCCTTCCTCATTGGATCTATGAGTGAATCAAGCTCCTGGAAGATTTTATCAATTCAAAGAATCCACCATGTGTCGCATGAACAAGTATAGTGCAATAACATGTACCATATAAAAGGAAGATTGAGTTTATAGATATTATAATTCTACTTAGATTCTCGAAACCTTCTTAGAACTAGTAAAAGAAGAGATGAATTGATGATCAAAAACAACCATTTGAGCCAACTTAGCTGTACTGCTTCACTCTTTTTCAGAAATTAAACAAAAGTATTCTAGAGCTAAATCAAGAACAACATTATGGGATGTTGTTCCTGTTCAGATTTCTCCATGTTCTAAAACAAAATGTCATGTTGTATAATATCATATAGATTCACTGTTTTTTCGTTAAAAACTGTTTCTCTTTTAGGCCAGAGTAAATATATACAAGATGATGATCTCATTCGAGTTGCTAAACCATGATCCGATCCTTTTATTTTTTTTCTTTTTTCTCAGGACTTACTTCTCGAATGTCAGCCAACCGCCTAGTTGCTTCTTCGACGCGTCCCATGTAAGCCTGAACCTTGTCCCTCACCTCCATCTTCTTTCTCTCAATCTCTTCTTCTTTTGCTCGAAACGATGCCAATGCAGATTTCGCCATCTCCTCTTCCTTGTCATCTTTTATCGGACTCCCATTGCAACTGGTAATTCCCGAGTTCTTTACTCGCTGCATCTGCGATTGCTGTTGCTCCCATATCTGCTTTGGTGTTGCCATTGATGACTCCTTGCACACCCCCACCCTTCTTTTCTTCCTGCAATTCTCTTTTACCCCTCTCTTTTCCTTGCTCTTTTTCTTTAGAATGATGGCTCTCTTTCCCTTGCAATAGGTTGTTATATGCAAGGCTGGCTTTAAAGGCTTGAAACCAACTAGCTTACTTTAACACAAAACAAATTAGAATTATAAAAGATACAAAATGACCAAAATGTCTGCTCACTTTATAATCATTAAGTTAGAGAGGATTTTTCACCTTTCTTCAACAAAGACTTTAATCAAATGTTCTTTCCATCTTCACTTTAACCCCCACTTAATTAACTTCAGTAAATCTATTTTTTTGTATTCAAATTTTAGCTCAGAGGTAAGTTATCAGCAATCCCATATTGTAGAATACATTCTTGTGCACCTTCTTTCCAATTGTAAATTTTTTAAGCTTGGATTAGAGGAGGATCTAGGTGGATCATGGGCCTCCTTTGGTAGGCAAGCTATTTGCTTAAGTTGGTCTATTGACAAGTTCAGTTAACTACTGCTTTTCTTCTCACTTGTGCACCTATTTTTTAAACATTTATGGATAAAAAATACAGATGAAGTATATAAAACTTACCATCTGCTAGTGTATATATGAAGAAATATATAATTATTGGTGCACAAATCATTTTCTCACATTCCAAAATGTAAAGTATATATAATAATATTGCTATCATTTAAACTGATATATATTGGTTGAAAGGTCCTAAGGAGTATTGGTAAATCTTCTTTTTCCTTGACGAGGAGTGCTTGGAGCAGAAGTCTTACTTGAGGAATGGACAACAAGTGGTCACCTTACACAAGACATGGTGGGGGGAAAGCCTTGAGTGACAAGACAGAGCAGGAGAGATTGGCAGCAGCCTAGCTGCCCTTATTATTATTATACATACTATAATTACCCTTCCAGCTTGGACTTCTTTTAAAAAAAAAAAAATAAATAACAAAATCTTTACTTTTAATCTTCTGCGTTTTCCTTTCTTATTTCACTCTAGGATGAGCAGATGAGAGGTTGAAAGGCTAATGTTGATGTTAGGGAAAGACGTTTGAGCACAATGACACCATATGCTCATTATTTCATGTCAAATTCACTGGTGTGATATCTGAATTGTAGGCTTGAATGCACTGGTCAGGAAAAATAGTGTTCATTGTTGATTTACTTGATACAAGTATGGGTTTAATATATAATATATATTGTCTAATTGCTGACCTTCTAAAACAGTTGATAAATTGTTATGGTGCATAAATAGGATAGATTCTTTTCTTCACCTTACAGAAACCAATTTGCTGCTAAGCCCCCACATGGGTTTTTCTAGTATTGATTCCAATTTCAAAATCCTTTCATTAAATTTCTGCAAATGTCAAAAGATTTGGGTTAAGGTTGGGGTGTGGCAAAATGTCAGAATCATATGCTTTGCTTTGTGCTTTAATTTGGTTTAGGGGGGGCGTAATGTCTTTTAGCGCATCCTTGATTTTTGAATTATTTATTTAATCTTTTTTGCATAGTAGAATGACAGGCCAGCTTGGTCAGTTAATGTACTCAAAATCTAGGCCCTTTGGCCTTTACTAGTTCAGCTTTTTGGGGTATGTTCGTAGGTATAAACTCTAAAGGCCCTTTAGAAAAATTATTAGGTTGGAATTGGTCAGAGTTACGGCGGGCTGACTGGCCCACTTTTGCCTTGTTGGGCCCCCAGGTGGAATCATTTCAAGTCAAGGAGTCGCCTACATTTCTTGAATAAGTAATTTAAAATAGAAAAAATGTTTGAAAAATTCAAATGTGAGAGAGAGGGAAACTAAAAATGATTCCAGTATTTGCTTTTTATAGTTATTTCTCATGTTTCATCTTAATTTTTTTTATAATTAGAGAAGAGAAATTCAAACTATATTTTTTAGATAATAAATTTATGTATTAATCAATTATCTAAATACTCGGATGAAATTTTAATTTATTTTGATAAATAAAGAATTTTAAAAGTTATTATTATATTTTTATAATCTTTGGTTAAAGGTGAAAATCTTAAATTATGAGTTTTTTTTATAAGTAATGCCTTTTTTGCTGATAAGTACTAATTTAATTCCAATTTGGTTTTTGTGCTCATTTGAAAAATGTAGATTTTTTTTTAATTTTGGTCTTGGTAGGATGGATGGTAAAATTTTGTTGGTTGATATTCTTTTAAATGAAAAGGAAGTTTATATATATATATATATATAGAGAGAGAGAGAGAGAGAGAGAATACAGTGAAAGAGAACTAAAGAGTTATATTTAATGTATTGTTAGTATATAAATTTATAAATTATCATTAAATAATAAAATAATATAGTTTAAACTTTTAAAAAATGGAATATTTTAAAAATTTAAATTTAAATTTATTTATAAGCCAGATGATAACAGTTAATTTATTAATATAAATAGATGCTATACATTATATGACATCAAATATATGTTTCATAATTTAATAAAAATTAAAATTTTGATTTATGAGAGAATAACTTACGTTCAAATTATCTAATGGAGATAGGATAACTAATTATCAAAGTAAATAATTTACTAAATTTATTTACTGCACATAATGGTAAACGTGCCACGTGTCACATCGTTCTACCTCCGTTGACACCCAAATCTCAGACCTGATTCCCCGCCCAAACTCCGTGGCGTGCTCCACAAGCGTCTCCAAAATTTTATGACTTTCTATGTCCCCCGTCTCTGTTTTCCCTACGGTTTTAGACTTCAGAATCGCAACTTTTCCCATGAAAGCTTAAGCCCTTTTTTCTTCTTCTTTTCTTTTCCATAAACCCTTCCGTTTTGAACTCTCCAACTTTCCCGCTTCTACATTAAGGGTTCTTTCGTTGTCTCCTAGGTTTTCTACGCGCTGTTTGGGCCACGTTTTTTTTTTAACTGTTTCTAGTCATGTCCTCGTCGATGAGAAGGGACTCAACATATTCAAAGACCAGAGCCCGGTCTCCTCCGCGTCGTTCGCGAATTCGGGACCGGTCTTCTGGTTCGAAACGGTCCGAGGCGGAGCAGTTATCTGGGTCGGAGGATCAACAACAGGGCAAGAAGAGTAACCATGTAGACGATGACAGAGAAATCTGCACGAGAAAACTGTCGGAGTTTAACGAATCATTGCGGCGGCAAGGACGGTCAACCTCCACCAAGTTCCAGTGGGACCATCTTTTACCCTATAATTCCGGGAAGGCCGTGGCGGCGGCGACTACTTATAAGCAGGAACTAGCCGTGCGGAATGAGAGAACCACGAGAACTTATTCGATTAGTCCAGTGGGGATTGTTTTAACAGAAGAAAACCGGTTCATCGATTCAAAGCCGCCACCTTTGAAGGAAACGAAGTGGGGTTTTAGCTATAATGGCGAAGATTTCCGGTATCCAGAGGTTGGAAACAGGGGAATGACAAATGAGGCGGTTGGTTTTAGTGGGGAAAAATTGGGTTTTGATTCTCCATCTGTGATAGCTGAAATGGCTAGGAATAAGATCAGGAAAACTGAGAGAGTTACTGAACTTGCATATAGGAAGATGGAGAGTGTGAGATCCAGAACCAGTCTTGTCGATTCTATTATCGATAAAATTGATGCTGCAGGGGAAAACAGGCCATTGGAGTTGGCCCGACGTTTTTCTTTACCTCAACAGTATATGACAGAACAAAAGAGAGAAGGTTTGCATGGGGAAAGGCATCAGCCGAGAGAAGATTGTAGCCGTCATGCTTTTACTAAACGATATCTGGGTTTTAGTGGACAAGGAGAGGACGTTGTGGGCTTTAGGATGAATCATTCACAGAGCGCAAACGGCGCTTTTTTCCATGGTGCAAGGGAGCAGTTTGAAGAAGATTGTGGCCATCTTTTACCTCAAATTTATCCTGACTTAAAAGAAAAGTCACATGGGAATGAGACGGAGCAAGGAAATGAGGTTCTGGGTTGTAGGATGAATCATGCTCAGAGCCAAAATGGAGCGGGTTTTAATGGTAAAAGCCAGCAGTTTCAATATTATGTTCATTTAACTGGAAAATCACATGAGATGGAGCAAGAAAATAAGGATTTGGGTTCTAGAATGAATTGTCAGCAGAGCCAAAAGACCGCTCCTTTGCTTGGTAAAAGGCAGGAGTTGCCAGAAGATTTTGGCTGTTCTTTACCTCAAAATTATCTTAATTTGGCCGGAGAATCACATGTAATGGAGCAAGCAAATGATGCTTTCAGTCCTAGGAGGAATCGTCCTCAGGCCCAAAAGAAGGTGCTTTTGACTGGTGAAGGCCAGGGCTTAACAGAAGATTACGGCCGTACTTTACCTCAACATGATCTTGATCTTAATGTTGAATCACAGGAGACGCAGCAAGAAAATGAGCTCCTGGGTATTAGGATGAAGCATCTTCATAAACAAAAGGAAGCGCCTTTGCATGGTGAAAAGCCAGAACCGCTAGAAGATGGTGGTCATCCTTTACCTCGAACTCATTTTGGTTTAAGTGGGGAATCACTTGTGATGGAGAAAGAAAATGAAACTATGGCTTCAAGGATGAACCATCCTCGGGACCAAAAGGGAGCTAATTTTAATTGTGAAAGTCTACAGTTGCAACAAGATTGTGCCTTGGAAAGCAATTCCCTGCCAAAGCAGGATGATTATGTATATACAACTGAAGGCAGCACTGAGCAAACTTCAGTAACAGAGGAGATACGCATCAATAGCCGGTCTTTGAAGACACATCCTAAGAAACGTATTATTGACCTGAGAAAGATTACAGAGAGTCGAATATGTGCATTACCCCGGAGTTCGGATGCCTCAGATGATGAGATTCTTGATATTGGATACGGAGGTGAACAATGGAGTAATGAAGATTTCGAGCAAACATTATTGCTAAGAAATTCAGGACCTGAGCGCCCCCAAGATGGGAGGGCTACTCTGCTTGATGAGTTGCCAAGTCAAAGGAACGTTTTTGACTGTGACTATCAGTTTTCCTCTCCTCATATGCAAGAATTTGCACAACCTTCTAATAGGACAAGTGTAAAGCAGCGTTTGGGGCCGCCTTCTCATGTTCATAATCCATATCCTTCTACTAGGAAACGTATAAAGCAGCGTTTGGGACCGCCTTGTCATGTTCATAACCCAAATTATATGCCTCGGACTCAAAGACATAAAATGAGGAAGCTCCTGAAGGAAAATGTTAATGATTTTCATGAAGGGGTTCAAGCTCGAGATGTTGATTTGCGTCATGTGAAACGTGGAAGGACTGAGCCACCTGAGGACTCTAAGGAGTTTGAGCAGCAAATACGTGGTGCTTTTGTTCAATATGTAAAAATATTGAATGAGAACCCAGCTCAAAGAAGGAAATACACAGAGAAAGGAGAAGCTGGTACCTTAAAGTGCTGTGTATGTGGCAGGTATGCCATATATCGTCAGTATTTGCTTTCGAAGAGAGCCTCATTGAATTTAATTTACTGTTTATTCCATGATCAATAGAATAATATATAGGTTAAGTGGTTAAGTAGCAGTCTTAATGACATGTATCTCTCTCTCTCTCAGAACCAAGTTTATCCTTTGACCTTCTAATACATTTCCTTGGGAGCTCTCTTGAGCAAATTTCTTGGTTATATGTATTTATTTTGAGCTACGTGTTTCACTATATGTACATCTCTTTGAACTTAGGATAGTGCCCTCATTTAGAAGTACTACCCTCTAGGAAAGTATTTATCTATAGCATAAATTTCTCAATGCCGCTGCTTTAGTAGCTAACAGAATACCCCTAATCTTTCCTTATTTGAGCTTTAGAAGTCTTTTATAACTTTATGATCTGCTTAAATGCAGGATTAGAATGATTTCTTTTCATGGGCATATTACAGATATAGGGACAAATGTCTATTAGTACTGTGCTAAAAATGATTGTCATTTTATTTATATGCATCTGATTTGTGAATAAACTTTTACATGATTTGACACAAGTATTGACTCTTTTGTCCTCTTAACTCCCACAAAACTTGTTGAAATGATGCTTTCATTATTTTCTGTCTTCTGATTTTTGTTTCAACATGCTTCTTTAATGAATTGTTGATTTTCATGTTTTGTCAGTAAATCCGAAGAGTTTGTCAACACACTAAGCTTGGTAACGCATGCTTTCACATCTCGAATGGTTGGGCTTAGAGTAAACCACTTGGGTTTACACAAAGCACTTTGTTTTTTGATGGGATGGAACTCAGTGGCAGCTTCCAATGGTTTATGGAGGCAGAAGACATTGCCTGATGTTGAAGCCTTGGCTATGAAGGAGGATCTTGTTATCTGGCCTCCAGTTGTTATCCTGCACAATAGTTCTATAGCAACTACTAATTCCGATCATCGGATTATAGTAAGTATTGAAGAGATTGAGGCATTTCTCAGAGGTAAGTTAACCTTAATGATGATGGTGGGTGCCACTGTAACTGTGTTTTACTGATTTTAAAATACCCTTTTTGGTAGTGGATGCTGCATGTGCATGGTTTCTGTCAGTCCTCATTTGACAAATAACATTTTTTTACATCACAGCTCTTATTCGACTATTTTCTTTACAAATTATTCTGGAAATTATTGTTCAGATTTGTACTACCTTTGTTTTTGTAACATTTCATCATTTTTTCCTTCTTTGTAATTTTAGAAACCAAATATTTGGATTTTTTACTTGATCACTGTGATTTTATCTTGAGATGTCCAACAAAGAATTTGAAGGATGTGTACTCTAGGTCCGTATGCACAACCAGTGTGCTTGTCATTTGGCAGGTCATATGGATCTCTTGCTTCAAAACTCACTTATACTTCTCCCCTTAACAAAAAACTTGCCTTTCAGGATTACCCCAAATTGTTGGGGAAGCTTTTGCAGGATTTATTTGTTTTTATGTGATATGCTGGTTTTTTCCTCTCTGTTTCCTGCCTCTGTTTAATTGCAGACATGGGATTTGGCCGGGGAATATCCAAGGTGTGCCGCGGGAAACCTGCAAATCAGAGTATTATGACAGTGATCTTCCATGGAACCTTTTCAGGGCTGAAAGAAGCAGAGAGACTTCACAAGCTTTATGCTGAGAACAAACATGGGAGGGCTGAATTCCAGCAAATCAATTGCAGCACTGGAGAAACGAAGAAAGTGCCACTAGACAAGGTTGAAGATGTTCTATATGGCTACTTGGGAATTGCAGGTGACTTGGATAAACTTGATTTCGAGACAAAGAGTCGTGCCTTAGTTAAAAGCAAGAAGGAAATCTATGCCACTGCCGATGCCCTTCTCGACATTGACTGATAAATTTAAGGGAAATACAAGTAAATACTTAGGTGAACCTTCTCTCTCTTGCTATTTTGCAAAGGGCACAGGCATATGTCCAGGCCTACTAACTCATGCTGTCACGTTTGTTAATGATGAAACTAACTCCAGTTTCATCACTAAGAGGTTAGGGTCTGTTTGTTCACCACTAAGAGGGTAGGGTCTGTTCTAGGAAATGTTAGTTGGTAGAGAGTTTGTTTTCAGTACAAACTGCGTATGTTATTTTGAGATTAGCTGTGTATGTTTTATTGTTTACCTTGCTAATCAACCTCCATGCTGATGTTACCAGACAATGTAGACAAGAAAGAATAACTTTAATATATCAAGCATTCATATTACCAGAACAGATTGCATTGTGCTAGGTTCAAGTTCAAAAGCTTGTAACTTTCATTTATTTTTAAAATAAACATACCATAGTAACACAACTATGCTCAGGTGTTAAAATAAAAATGTATAACATAATAATATAAATATTAGGGAAAAGAAAAAAAGGCAAAGCAATGTTGTTTTGGTTTATACCTGCTAGAAAGTAGAAGTGAGAAGGTCAAAAGAGTTGGGTGTAAAACAAAGAAAAATTTAGATGGAAAACTAATAGAAGATTAAAGACAACCATTTTCACTGCAAACTTGCAGACATTACAGGGAAAGAATTTTCTTTCATATATTCTACAAAATACAAAAGGAAGCGTAAGGGGGACCCAAACGCACCAAAACCTACTGAGCATAACTAGTAATTACCATGAAAAACTTGAATGTTGAATGAAAAGTGGCAACAGTTCTCTGTTTCACCCTTACCATATATATATAAAAACATTGCAAAATCAACAATTTCATATATACATCTTAACATTCCAAGGGTTGTCCACAATTCAACTAAACTTCTCTCATCTCCTTTGGAAGTTAAAGCGTTTAATGGCATAGGCGAAGACGAAGAAAAATACCAAGACCCAAGCAAAATGGCCAAGGACAATATATTTGAGAAAGTCCTCCTCAAATCCCAAGTTATCCTTTAGGAATTTATTCACCGGCATTGTTGCATCATTGGAGAGCTGGAGGGGGGTGTCCTTGTCTCCGACTTGAGATGTGAAAAGACCATAGATTGTCCAAGCAATTGGAGAACCCCAGTAATACCACCTCCACCACACAGGGATTAGCTGCATTTATTTCCGAAGAAAGGTTCAGATATTAGAAACCATCACAACTAAACATTTAGGGACTAATATTGATGCAACCTTGCTTCATGGTCATTGGAAAATTTGTAGTGTTAAATTTTTATCTACTGTGTCATAAATGGCATTAAATGCCATTGGACAACAAGAATTATTGTGCTGAAATGTACATACCGGTCTAGGGATGAGGAAACCAGAGAACAAGTTCCAGAAACTGAGCAAAAAGGATGAAACAATAGCGGCAATTTGATGACCAGGAGTAAGAGCAACAACCATCATCCCATACATTGACATGTAGGTGAAACACATGAATATGAAGAAGTAGAAATAGAAGAATTTGTCTGCCTGCCATTCAAATCCGATCATCGAGTACAGAAGAAGAGCATATACAATGGTTTGGAATGCGACATAAATTGTCTCTATGGCGACCTGGCAGAAGAGAAAGAAAGTACACGTCAATGTGAGAAAGAGAATAGCTAGCTTTTTGCATTCACCTGACATTGTAAAATGATGCACACAGGCTTATACTAAGAAGGATAGAAACTGAAACAACCAGAATAATTTGATTTCCTGTCTCACCTGAGCAAATGCATAAGGCAATTCTGAGTACATCCCGGCTGCTCTTTCTCGGTAGAAGACCGTCCTTTCAATTGACACTACAGGCTGCACAGAAGTAGCATTGGTAGCTCCTAGGAAAAGAACAGCAGCATAGATAGCTCCTAGAAGATTCATCAGGTCCTGTTGTTGTTGTCTGTCACCAGCGTAAATATGGCCATGTTAGAAGGAAATTAAATGTTGGATCCTTTTTCTCTGCTCCAAAAAACTTACGCAAGAAAGACATGTATGGAATATTGGCTCAATATAAGACACTCAATGACTTACAATTTCTCTCCTTTGTTCCAGAAGATGACACCAAATAAAATACCAATCATAACTGTCATGAAGAATCGGACAGCATTATACTGTGAGTTCCTCCAGTATGACCAGTACTGTTTCCAGAAACAAGCCTTGCATTGCGTTACAAAGTCCTGGGAATATTTAGTGGGGAAGTAAAGATCCTTGGAACCAGGTTGTGGAGTGCTAAGCTCTTTGATGAGCTCCTGATTTCTCCTGAGAAAGTAAGAATGAGATCAAGAGAAGGTCAATCTTCAAATGATAATTAAGGATTTGTGAGGACTTTGTAATTTGGAAACAATTTTGTCTAGTGCTACTAACTGGTATAGGTCAGAGTTGGCGTAAATGTCAGCAAAATCAACATTGAGCTGAGTCTCAACTGCCGTGGAGCTGACTTCCAACATCCAAGTAGCAGGATTATAGCCTTCTTTGATCTTGGGAACCCCTGGAACAGCCTGCACGTACTTTAGATGTTAACCAAACTGTGAATTTGAAAGTATTAAATATTAAATACATTTTAGGCCTAACATATATGTTTAATACAGAAAAGAATTTTCAGAAGAAAGTGGCATGGGCGGTGATGTGCAAGTATAAATCCTGACCACTAGAACTTCTGGTTTTAAGGCTCAAAGCAGAATAGAAGTCCACTAATGAATAGAGAAGGCACACCTCAAAATATTCAACAAGTTTGTGAGAATGGTGGCCAAGAGGTCCAGCATATATCACTTGTCCTCCTCTTTTCATCAACAAGAGCTGCACATGGAAAATTATCACAAACATATAGCTCATTAATAATGACCTACAGAAAAGCATGTATGAGAACATTATACAGGTTTGAAATTCAGTAATACCTCATCAAATGCCTCAAAAATATCAATACTGGGTTGATGAATTGTGCAGACGACAGTTCGTCCTGTATCCACTGTGTTCCTCACAGTACGCATAACAATTGCAGCAGCTCTAGCATCAAGGCCTGATGTTGGCTCATCCATAAAGATGATAGAAGGATTAGCAACCAGCTCTACGGCTATGGTTAGCCTCTTTCTCTGCTCAGTAGAAAGACCATTCACTCCTGGAAGTCCAACTAGAGCATTCCTCAATGGGTTAAGCTCAACCAACTCCATTACTTCCTCAACAAACATCTGTAAAAAAGAATGGTACAGTTAGTTGCATTAACCAAGAGGCCAGGTATTCACAGAATCTAGTAATTGTGATAAAACGAAAATTACTGATTTAAACGATAAACAAAAAACAATATACATAGAAGAACAGTTTGCATAGGAATTGCATACATCTCGTGTTTCCTTCTTCACACTTGAAGCTAGACGCAACCAGGCAGAATATAACACTGATTCATAGACGGTAACATGAGGTGAATGAATGTCATTCTGTTCACAATAACCACTGACACGAGCAAAAGTTGCTTGGTTCTTTGGGTAGCCTGAAATGCTTATACTTCCTTCAATGTACCCACCAGTCTTTCTTCCGGCTAAGACATCCATCAAGGTCGTCTTTCCAGCACCACTAACACCCACCAATGCAGTCAGAATACCTGGCCTGAAAGCACCACTCACATCTCTCAGCAGCTGTAATCTGCTTTCTTCAACCCCATGACTCTTCATTTCCTGGTAATTCAAAGTAAAAAATCAATCAGTTAAATGTTTGTAGGCATCTAAATAGATATGTAAAAAGGATGCTGAGAATATTAATTCTTCAAGAGAGCAACTCACTGCTGGCATATCAACGTAGTAATTTATATGGTTGAAAGCAAGTGAAAGGGGCTGGAAAGGCAAAACCATTCCCTTTTTGGATTGACTGTTTGCAACACTAACAATAGAGCCAGAACTAGCCTGAGCATTTCTCACTGGCATATCAATCCCTGCAAAATACAATTAAACATTGCAGGATCAGCACTTATTACAATAGGAGAACGTAGATAGAAGAGAAATGCTGCATTAGTGGAAGAACAATAATTTCTTTTGTGAGTGCTCCCAAGCTTGGAAGCATGCTGTGTACCCATATTTGGCATATGCCTAACTAGCTAACAACAATTACGCAAATCATGCACTTTTTGAAAAAAAACTTTTGTTAAAATTAATTGATGAAAATCAAGCTTCTGAAATTGATTCATATTGATAAAACTACTAACCTTCTGCATTGGAGGTTACATGCCTATTCTGATTGCTTTTTGAATCATTATCTGAGATTACAGGTTTAGAATCTCCTAGAGCTGAAATTGAGTCAAAAGAAAGCAGGAGTTCAGTATATTACTTCTTTTGCATGAACCAAGATACTAAATAAGAAATTTGAACTTACGATTCAAAAATGTGAGTGCTGCAATGAAAAGAACATTGAACAGAAGAGAGAACCCTGCAAGTGCTCCCACGCAAATCCAATACCAATGTTCTTCGGTGTATAGGCCTCTTTCCTTGAGAAGTGTCTTTCCAACAGTGGAGTTCAGGTGAGGCTGCACCAAAAATATTAGGATCTTTAGTTTATATGATTGAGCCAGGATTCTTAATCTAAAGTTTAGGCTTCTGTAAGGAGATGTACTGTGCTCCATCTGTCAGAAAGAAACTCGTTGATGGCAATGGCATTTTGACCATACATCATAGGCGAAACATAATAACCCCATATCATCCATGGTTCAATGTCACCTGCATGAGGAAAAAGGTGTTCATCTTAGTTTCATAGATTATCCTCTAAATGAGACAAGAAAATCGAGTTGCTTATCAACATACAGATTAAGACCTGAAAATACAAATGCATAAATCATCAAACGTAAAAGTCCAATTAACTTGGAAATAAAATGAATTAAACAGGAAAACAATATTTTCACCTTTGGCTACAATGAAACCTCCCAGCACAAATACTAATAGCAAGGTAAAGGAACCAAAGGTGTTTGCAACCACTTCTGTTCTGCCCAGTGCTGCAATGAAACGGAAGAGGGAGAGAGCCACTTGATGAATACCAAAGAATGCTAATAACTGCTTGAGGAACCTGTACATGTGGTAAATCTGTCAACTGCTGAATCTCTCATACTTGATGCATTATTGCATTCTACTATGATATTAGAACACCATCAAGCATCATCAGGCAGAAAAAGTGAACCATGCAAGTAAAATATTCACTTACCTACTGGCAGCAGGTGCAAACCCAATCGTGTAATAAGTAAGAATTATCCAAATTCCAGATTCAATCAGGGAGACAGGAATTCTTGTGAGCCAAATGGGCAGGGCAAAAGCCCATGCAGGGTAGAACATGAAATCCCTTTGCTTAAAGAACACAGGAAGCCTAAAAACTGTCATTGCCAGCTCAGCCATCCCATTAAACATAACGTTAATCAAACTGAAAAACAATGCTCCCCAATATTTTGATGCATCCTCTATTTGACCAGATTTCATTTCTGTTCTGAGGAACACTGTAAGGGCAACTATTGCCATAAATGTTAGCTGGAAAGCCTTGAAGATGTAAACAAAGGAGTTGCGCTTCATTAGAAGCCATTCCCTGGAAAGGCAAGCCTTGAAGAGTTCCCTGTTGGAAATACCATACTTCTCAGTCACTAAAGCAGCTGGATGAGTTTTCGATTTATCATAAGGAACTCTAAGAGCTTCTGAAAGCTGTTGGCCAATGTGAAAAGAGTTGAAGGCTTGTGCAAATTCAGTTACCGAGACATATCTATACGGTTGGTTCTCTCGGAACCAGTATTGTTCTTGGTCCTTTTTGGAAGTTACTTCCTGCAGAAAGTCTGCTACCCCTTTCCTTTCAGGGCATTTGAAGCCCATATATTCAAAGAACTCAAGAATGTTCTCACGAGGTCCTTGGTAGACAATTTGACCCTCAGAAAGTAAGATAATCTCATCGAAGAGATCAAATGTCTCAGGTGCAGGTTGCAAGAGGGAAATGATCATGGTTATGTCCATAATATGGACCATCTGCTTCATAAACTTGACAATTTGGAATGTGGTGGAACTATCTAACCCTGTTGATATTTCATCCATGAAAAATGCTTTTGCTGGCCCAACCAACATTTCTCCTACACTCAGACAAGCAGTATAATTTAAGGTTTTGAGAAAACATTATCAAAACTGATCCATCTTTATAATGACTGCAGATGTAACATTTACACATACCAGTTGTTACACGCTTCTTTTGTCCACCTGAGATGCCTCTTCTCATATCATCTCCCACCAAAATATCAGCGCATATATCCAGTCCAAGTATCTGTTACAAATCCATAAGATGATTAGGTATGTTCATTGAATCAAGAGAAAAGACATGACATCAAAATAGAGTCGAAAACCTTGAGGACGTAGTCAGTAATCAAACTAGTTTCCTGGCCAGCCATTGCTGTGGCTTTCATGAATGCATCAATCTCCGGATCCGGCTTAATGCCTGCTTCCTTCTCTCTTCTTGATAGCTCTGCCAACATTTCATACCTTGTTCCCACTCCCAAACACCGTCCTGAGAAATCTAATGTCTCACGGACAGTCATCTCTCCATTGTGAAGATCATGCTGGCTAATATAAGCACTTGTTCTCTGAGGTATAAATTCCGAAAATTCACAGCCACAGTAGGTGACTTTGCCAGTTATCTGTTTATTATCCACAATCCATCAGTACGTGGAGATGGTAAAGAAAAGTTAAACGAATTCATGACTAATAGAAACAAACCCTTAGATCATCATTTGGTTTCGCTGCAAGTGTCTGCAACAGTGTTGTTTTTCCGGAGGCAGGAGGCCCAAGAAGTAGTGTCATCCTAAAGTAAAAAACACAACAATTAAATCATGTGAAATCAGTTCCAAGCAAGATATAGCATTTATCCATTAAGATTTTATTTGTAAGAATGTACCTTGATGGTTTTAGTGCTCCAGTCACGCTGTGAAGGATCTTGACAACCCTTTTCTTTGAAGGGGAGAGTCCAACATATCCAAGAATTGCCTACTCATGTTTGAAATTGAAACAACAATTAATATTCAGAATCTTCGAAACTTGGATATTAGATGATATGGAAACCACAAAGATCACATGCTCTTGATTATGTCGATATCAGTTTGATAATAAAGACAAGGCACTCAGTTATGCTTTTCTTCACCCATTTCCAAGATCTAAAAGTTCATCAATATGGAATTTGATTAAGAAACAAAAGGTTAGTACCTCGATTGCATTTAATGTGGTATTCATCAAAGTTGGAAGTGCTCTAGTCCCAACAAAAGCATCTCCTTCGACTGATAAATTCTGAAATCTAACTTCAATCTTAGGGACTTCAATTCCCACCCTGTTTCCACCAAAGCATACAAGTTGCAAGATTCAAACTCAACATTCCTTTCATAATTCCTTCTATTCTCTCACATATGTACCCAAAAAGAAAAGCATTCTATAAAGAAAAAAAGAATTTGTATTAACCTGTCAGTTCTGTTCCTCAATCTCGTCAAGAACCTCTCATTATCATCCTCAACAACCTTAAGTATACTCTCCATCAACTGTTTCTTGGCTTGTGGTCCAAGCTTTGTAACATCAACCTCATCACGCACAACATTACCGTTGCTGGTGACCTGCATCAGCATCCCTTTCCTCAGCCTGTCATAAGTTGGCAACCTCTCTATTGCAGCCCATCTTAACTCCTCTTCATCATTAACCTCCTGCTGCCTGCTGCTCCTTTGAAACACGTCTGGTGCATTAAACATCTCCCTAACACTCGAAGCACGCCAGCTTCTCCTGCTACTCGTACTCGTCTGCCTCGACAAGTCTTCTCCGGCCAACGAAGCCGCCATGTTGGCAACTTTGCTAGCGTTCTTATACCAACAAATATATCTATATATATATAGCAAGATTATGCAATGAAAAAATTAAATGATTCTCGGAAGAGTGTTATAGGCCAGTATGCAACGTTTGATGAAACCAGGATATCCCGGCTCCCTGAAGAGAAAAATGCTAAAAAGAGTGATATAGCCAGTTCCTTTATATGGAGTTTGAAGATTAAGAGAAAAAAAATAATATTGCACTTGACACGAAATTTCTCTTTCTTTCACTGTTGTTGTTGGTCAAAATTGACTACTCGAAGTTATTCCCATATTTTCCAATGGCTCAGCTTTAAATTTTTGTTGAAAGTTCAACGTGTTATGCTATGCTTTGCATTTTTAGCATGATTTAACTAACAAACTGAGGGGCCGACAGCCAAAAAAACGGTAAGTCTCATATGGCATACTTCTGTTTTGCTGACCAAAGGTGAAGAAAATTCCCTGGACGAGGATGCTTCTATTGGAGGACAAATTTTTAAGTAAAATTCTGGTAGTTATGACAGTAAATTCTTGTTTCAGACTTTAACCAAGCAACTGTAAAATACCATCCACGTTGACTAGTTTAATATTATCTTTAGCTTCTTTTAGCAATGAAGCCTCCACAAAAAGTTTGTATGTCCAAGCCAGTTGTGGACCCACTTTGCCAAACGTGACAAGGAGGAAATTCCTGGAAAATTGCTGCATTAACCCTCCCTCCTTTAGAGTCATTTCTGTTGGTATGAAAGGAGAGAATTTTGAAGCGTTTCAATATACTTTCTACCTCTTCTAGAAAGTCAGCTGCCAAGAAAATCATTAGCTCTACAGTTGGATTTTTTTCTCTTGTTTTTATTTTGCTTTCCATTGAATTATTCTTCAAGTTGAAAATTTTCCATACGGTTTGCATCAGGTTGATGTGTGTCTTAATTGATATTTATCAGCCTTTCACACAAATTTGCTTAAATATCTTGACAAAATGTTAATCATTGTTCCTAATTCTCCAACAATTGCATCCCAAAACAGAAAAATTAAACAAAAAATACAAGGAAGGGACACAACTTTTTAAGATCATCATCAAATATGAAGATTATTTTTAAGGAATGATATCAGTCTTGACAGGGCAGTGCTTGCTTTACAGGCAGGGGTTCAGCCACCAGGCATACTCTTTAAAATTTATAGGCCATCTTTCATATAAAATAACTCAGAAAAGACCATCTTCTTTGAAGTTTATAGGGACACTTGACTCACGTTTGCTTAATTCCATATTTGCTTTATCATTAACTTATCTTTTGTCAACAATCCCTTCTGTACTTTCCCCTCGTTTTTCTTACTTTTTTCATTGACCGGAAAGAGAAATCAAAGCAAAGGGCTTCAGCCTTTCTATATATGATCCAGAGGTCTTCCCTGTGGACTGTTCTTTTAAGGCCCCATTAGCCTCAAAAGTCTTTAACTTAGAGCACGGATCACCTGAATTCATACTTGTTTTCAGTTCCATAGTTTTCCCATTCGCAGAGTGATTCTAGAAGTGCGGCAACCTTAAACGCAATTTAAATTGGTTTTGTTCAAATTTTCAAGATTCCATAACCGGTATTAAAGACCAAATTTGTAACCCCAACCCTAAGACCAATACTACTTCTAGATTGGCTTGCCTTGGCTGGCTTATGGATCATATTTTTCCTCTCTGGTAAAAGTCATTGATAATGACATAGGTGGGACATCTCCCAACTTGGAGGAGTTGGGATTTCAACGGCACTATAACATTGGTTGGAATCCGATACCCATGTCAAAAATTAGTAGAAATCCGACCAGTAACTCGTAAAATCCAAAATAATTGCTTGCAAGCATTAATAAATTGGATAACAGTCTTCTTGGCGGAATTGATCATGGAGAATTAGCTGTCAATGAATAGCTAGTAACATATTATTACCTTATTCTCAAGTCAAGCCAAACGATGGTTGGCGTTTTTCTGTTTTTGTCATAGTATCATATAAACAATATGGCTTTTTCTTCTTTTTTTGGCTTGACCTTTTTTTTCTTCCTCTTATTTATTTATCCTTACTTTTATGGTCCCTGGCCGTTGCAAGTAGACGGCAATCTTTGAATATTAGTCTGGAATTGATTGATGGACTAGATAGGCAGCAAGCAAGAATTTGAAGCCCTGGTTACATCAGGCAAATTTTCCAGCACCTTACTCACTTGGGCCCAAGAAAAATTGAGGTAGAGTGCCTAAAGATCAAACTTATAAGGTGTATAATCAATGTCCCAACATGCAAGACCAAAGGGCTGTTTGAAAATTGAATGAATGGTACACTAACATTATACATGTGAAAGAGAGAGATTGAGAAGGGAAGAAAGGGAAAAGGAGAAGACCACCCATGGCATCACCAGTAGTCACAAACTCCCAAATCATGTTGCTACTTCTAAACCAGAATCAATCTGCAAGATTGATGATAATTTGATTTACTGATATCCAACAACATAGAGTATAGCCGTTATGATTAATAATCCAATTCTTTGAATGAGATGTCTCCAAAGATACTTTCTTAGGCGTTATATGAGAAAATGAGGATGTTCAGAATTAGGATGGTTTTCACAAATAGCTGACTAGATATTTGATGTATCGAGTGATCCTTAATGTTTGGATAATTCGTACATAAATTCTACGCATGCACAGTTTCCGTTGAAAGTAAGCTTGAATGCAATCCCTGGTGGTCATAAGTCAGAAATACCTTTCGTATTATAGTTCAGTTGAATGTAACAAACATCCATTCTACATAAACCACAAATAAGGTTTGGGTACAAGATATGCAAATGCTAAGTTCTCGCAAGAGAGAAATATTATACCTGGAAAAGTCAATCAATCCCCACTAGCACAGCCCCTACATCCACAATGCACACACTCCACTACTTTCTCTTCCCTTAAATGCTGAGGAACGCGGCAAACACAAGTTGTGCTGAAATTGTGATCCCGTGGCTGTATGCAACGAAGGCAACAGAGACGTTCATATCCAAGCTGCATTAACAAAAGAAGAGGGAAAAGAGATTAATGAAAAGTATCTGCAGATACTGCTTTCTCGTAGCATGTATTTATGAACCATATATCAGAAGGAAACAAAACCTTAAGAAAACAGAAATGTCCAGCTCATGCATTTTTGGAGCTAGTAAAAGTTTGAATAAAGTAGCGATGAAAATAAAGACCTCAAAAATGCATTGACATCGTAATTTCATTTGAAGATTATCTATAGTCACTTGGTGCTCTTTTAACTTTAAGGCTATGAAAGAGGAAATTAAAATCAGAAGAGTGAAGGATTGGAGAGTGATAGGAATTTGGAAGATGACGGGGTTTTGGTTGTAACGATCTGCAAAGTATGAGATGTCAAAAGGACTTGCAGCTCACTTCAAATTATTCAACAACAAAAATTGTGGCCCAATGCCCAAATTATTTTGTAAGGGACAGTTATGTTAAACCTTTTTCCACTTAGCAATTAAGTTGCGGTCTGCATAGCCTTGTTCCAAGCAGAACTCATACAGCTCTTTAGATATTTCGTTTCTCTTATAGTGAAGGTCGAAAATGTAGCGGCTCCTCTGATGTGCAATTTTGAAAATAGGCCACAATCCTTCACATTTCCTCTTGCCATCGTGTGGATCAATTTCAGCTGCCAAGTGCCAAATGAAGATCAAATTACAGCAAGTTCCTTATGAGAAAGCTTAAAAAGAGAATAGTAGAAAACTTAATTAATCTTCAATATTGCAGCCCCTGAATATATTGTCATTTATAAACCTTCTCTCATTTTGGCATCCAGCTCCCTAAGAGTAGGCTCAATCAATTCCCATCCATCTGGATATTTGATCCGATTTGTCCTCACCTTAGGCATTTTTAAACTGCAGGAAAAATTCAACCATGTCAGAAAACCAAAAGCACATAGCTTTATATCAAATTTCTTTGCCACCGATGTTAACTTCATAATAACGCTTTGTGAAAGTGACATGCAGATATTCATGATCAACATTCAGTACGCAGCTTTGACATCAGTCTATAAGGATCTGATTGTTCAAACTCCTTCAGGTACCCTAAGAATTTTGTTATATTTCAGTTGCACAATCCATGTCCTATTTGAGGAAGAAATGAACTCTTTATGTTTTATTTATCCTATTAAAACATGCAAAAACTCCTATAGGACAAAAACTCATGCTTATGGTGATGATAAAGTGAGACCTTTCTTTGTCATAATGCTTATAGTACCATTCCAAGGCCTGCTCCATCATTAGCATCAACAACCCAAAAGTTTGCCAAATGCATTACCATGGTGCATGTACAATGGCAGAGACAATAAAAACCACAACACCTAATGCCAAACTAATATATACGAATTCCCGAGTTAAAAGTTATACCTTTCTTCTTCTTCTTATGATGCAATAAATGTGCTATTCCCAAAATTTTTCAAATGTCAAAGCAAGAGACTAATCCAAGAGACATTACTCAGCAGCAAATAACTCTTTTAATAATCAGTACAATTATACTACCCCTAGCACATCTCGGACAATTTACATGGACGAATGTGACAATCACGCAGGAAAACAGTAAAACATGCATTGAAGAAGTAACTAAAGAAGCACCAAAAGGAGCTTCACTGCCAAAACCCCAAAGCTCGTGTCTTATCTTCAAATAGGTTCACAAATTCCGCTCTTTGAGTCTCTCCAGCATTTAGCTTTGGACTTCCAACCTTTTTTTTTTTCCTTTTATTTCAGGCCAATGGCGTCAAAGGTCGGAAAATAAAAAAGCTTTTAGAATTTGGGGTTCTTAACTGGACCAGTTATAGTCTATAAGAAGCCTCGAAAATGGCAATAAGGTTTTACAATGGGATTGCCTTGTCTTCCAAATCCATAACCAAACTTAAAAAGAAAAAAGAAAAAACAAAGGGTGAAATTTCTTTCTGGGTTTCTAATCTGAACTGTGCTAAAGCGGCAGAGCATTATTTCAGAAGTAAACAAAAAGCAATTAAAGAAAGTGGAATGAAAAAGGAATGGCATACCAGCTAAGTACCCTTGTCTTGAGATGAGTGAATGTAATGTAAGTAACTCTGCAAGAGAACCTCCCAAACTACGCTTCCCACCAACTAGGGAAGAAAATTACGGAACCTCCGCCGGCCTCTCCCTAAAACCCAGCAGTCGACCCGACCCTTTTATAAATTACAAAACATATCGTGGTTTGAAATAAAATAATTTATTTTTTAAAATTTAAAAATTTGATATTTATTTATTTTGTCTATTGAATATTTTTAATTTTATTTTCAAAATTTTTTAAATTTTATTACTAATATTAATTTTAATAAAATAAGTGATGTTCCGATTATTTTGTTTTTGACAGTGTCAACAAAATTTAATGAAAAAAAATGCAGATTAATTAATTAATTGTCAGACTTTAAATTTCATGGAACAATTTTATTTTTCCACAAATTACAAGATACTTTTTTCGTTGTTTACTTTTTTTTAATACTATTTTTAAGGCCAAATCAAAGGATTAGTGCTATTTAATTATTTTTATCAAATAATAATTGAGCTATGAGTGGCTGCACGATATCATTATCCTTTTATTTTCACTTTATAAATTCGAACCATCTAATATGTCCTTTACTATTGTCACACCCCTATTGAAATCAGAATAATAAATAGCTGCTTATGGAAAACCATATTAAACTTTAAGGTTTGTTGAGATTGGCAAGATATCGCTAATATTGGTTCCTCTACAAAGACCAAATTTTTACAAGGAATATTAAGGAACACAGACACCAAATTATTGAGCATAGAAAACATTAACAGCTTTGCTGAATCCTGATATCACATCATGTAGCTTTCAAAAGAATCAAAATCAAACTGAGAAAAGCCCATCAAGGTAGCTTTAAAATTTCCATTGGCAGCAAAAATGTAAGCAAACCAAACAATTATTAGAGCTAATAAACAAGCCACTTCATGCTAAAAACCACAGAAGTCCAGGAATACATTGTCTCCCAAGCATGAGTAGCCTCATTCTTTCTTTCCGATCCCGTGAGACATGTTATAGATCCCTCGTCCCTGGAAAATAACAAGCACAACGTGAGCATTTGTTACATCACTCAGATGCCAAAAAGTAATTTCTCAAATCTTTTCTTTTGACAAACAGAATCTGAAAATTGCTGAAGGAATGTTTATAAGTAGAAACAAACTCACAATTAAAAACAAAGAACTTGCAGCCAAAGCAACAGGAATGGCAACAGATGTGATCTTATCATAAGGTCCTTTCAGGTAAGTGTGTTTCTGGATGCTTTGAAAATATTTCTGCTTCTCCAGAAGCTTCTCCCTAGGTCTGAATGGTGGCTCTGACATCCTGCATCACAAGTTAAAGATCCAATTAATGATCATCTAATCAAAGTAGCTTCTCAAAGCTCCCAAAACACCTCAACCTCACTTCTTCTCTTTTCTCAAAATGGCATATTCATGTGCTTCCTAGTTATTTCATGTCTCACTCCCTCTATTTTTTGGTCCAATGGCTGCACTGCCCTCCCCTTTTCAACAGACATGTCCCGCCCCAACCCCCCAAAACAAGAAAAGATGGTGTAAGTGGGGTTTGCTCCTGAATTATTAGTACAACCAGCGAAACACAAAACGAGCTAACATTTTCTTTGTTAAACAAGACAACGGTTGAAATTTCATGCTCCGCAGAATCCTACATGCCTACTATTCTCCCACAACCCATAACTTTGAATTTGCATTAACAAGCAGACGTCACTTGCACCTACAAGATTCATGATTTCATGACAGTTCCCCTTTTCTATAATATCTCCATAAAACATGGCAGCTGATCTTAACACAATATCAGAAAGAGCAGTACTGATCATTTTCAGCAGTTAAATATATTTTCACCACAGCACCATGGTCTATGAAGTGAAATTTAGCTTCAGTTCAAATATAGAGAAAAGAATTCTAACTCATAGAAACTTCAAAAACCTATAATACTCCTAATAAACCTACTCTTTTGCATAAGAAAAGCGAAAATGAAATGAAAAAACAAAAGGAGGAGTAACTAAACGCAGCTGAATCTCATTCTACATTACATCAACAGGATGATGAATTTTATGAATCTAGAACGTAGCTTAGATGGTTTCAATAACTCGTACATCTATAATCTTAATCAAGATTTCAAAGGGCTCTAAATAAGATTCATTTTGCGCAAAAAGCTAAATCATTTCATTTGTTCTAAATAATAAAACTAATTAACCAAAGAACCCCAAATCAGGAAAACACTCCCCCCTTCCCCTCCCCCAAAGAAAAAAAATCAGCAGATTCAACCGACAGCTAAACAGAAAAAAAAAAGAAATTTTCCAGATTAAATTAAACATCTCTCAACACCAGATTCAAAGGAGGAATCAGAAAGAGAGTACCTGAGAGTAAATTGATGCTGCTTCTATGAAAACCCTAGAAATTCTCGACGAGTATGACGCTATCGGGATTAAAGTAGTACAGGAAACGGTCTTTATATAATTCCGGGAAGACAACGAAAAATAGCCCCCTCAATAAACAAAAGTTACACGGGCCGGATCTATGGGCCGAATTCGGCCTGCTAAATGTAATTTTTAGTCGGAGTTTGTAGCTCGTAAAATTAGAAAAGAAGCCCATATAAAGCCCAATGGATAAAAGGGAATTTATAAGATTATTACTCGTATATTAAATTATTAATTAAAAAATTAAATAATATAATTATTAAGTGCAAATCGATATGCAGTAACTCCAATATCGATGTGTAAGACAATAATTTTAAGACTGCATTTGAATATCCCTGATTTAATCCCATTACCCATATCATTATAGAAAGGCAATAACAAAATAGTTGCTATAATAGTAACATATACTAGTACTAGCAATATTCTCATCAAACGACAGCGTTTGCAAGAAAGTGCTACATGGTCCCAGACCACCATCGGATCCAATGCAGGTCTAGCTACATGAACCTGAGAAGCACACAACTATTTCTCTTGTCTGCTCTCTCTCTGTCTCTCTATCTGCAACTCTCGAGCTCTAACAATGGCGAAATCTTCGTAGCCAAAGACTTCACTCTCCCTCCGTACTCCCTAGCCTTTTATTTCTTTCTTGGTCTCTAAAATGCGTCCAAAGGACAAAATAGCCTACTTCTACGACGGTACCATCCTCTCTCTCTCTCTCTCTCTCTCTATTTCTCTCTTTCTCTCTCATATTCACAATTCATCTCCCCTTTTTCTTTCTTTTCCTTTTAATTTTCTCCTAATCAATTTACACTTCTTTCTTTAATTATCTCCTTAATTTCCCTATATCTTTAAAAACCTAACTCTTTGGTTAACCCAGAAATAGATTTTATAGTAATTTTTTTTTTGGTAATTTTGCAGGAGATGTAGGGAGTGTATACTTTGGACCTAATCACCCAATGAAACCGCATCGGCTTTGTATGACTCACCATTTGGTTCTTGCCTATGACCTCCATAAAAAAATGGAAATTTATGTTAGTTCCTCAAATATAATCAAACTTTCGTGTAAATTTCTTTCTTTTCTTGATGATGTTTTGATTTTTCCTTTGTTTAATGCAGCGGCCTCACAAGGCGTACCCCGTTGAGCTAGCTCAGTTCCATTCAACTGATTATGTTGAGTTCTTACATCGAATTACTCCAGATACGCAGCACTTGTTCTCGAATGAATTGGCAAGATGTATGTATCACATGTTTTTGCTCTATTCTTCTTGTTAAATCCCTTAAAACAGATAGGTTTACTATTACTAGTTACCCAATATATTCTATAATGAAAATATAGATTGTTTAAGCGAAAAAGCTTGTCAAGGTAGGTGTGCAGTCTGGGAAAAGTTAATTACCTAGACTATTTTTTATGAATGTTTGATGCTTGGGAAAGTTCTGGAGTTCAACTTTAGTTGGGATATGATTTTCTGTGTGTTGTGCTATCAAATTTTAGACTTAGGAATTATTTTGTGAACCTATTTACTGTTTTTAGTGCTCTGCTCATTGTTGTCTTGTTTTTCATTTGTTAAATTAATGAAGGCTAGATTTGAGTTGATATGGTGCCCCTATTGTGCGGTTGGCTAAGTGTCTTGTCTTGTGTAAGTAAGTGTGAGAGAGAAGTCCCATGAATTGCATTGCTTGAGATTGATGGTAGAACTGGTCTTAAGATTAAAACATATCTATTGATTTGGCATGAGTGATAGAAATCATGTAGTGTTTCTAGCAATGATTTTGTTTACTTTTCTCATTTCACTCTCTAGTCAGCAAAGCTGTTTGCATTTTTTTCTTACTTATAAGCTGTAGATTGCCATTGATTATATACCATCTGGTTTCATACACATGCAAATGTCATTCTAAGAAGGACTAGGGTTCAATTTAGGTTTTACTTTCATCTGATGTATTTGGGTTTTATACTTTCATATTCACCTTATTCTCTTTTCTTCTTCCCCAGACAATCTTGGAGAAGACTGCCCTGTCTTTGAAAACTTGTTTGAATTTTGTCAAATTTATGCTGGTGGAACAATAGGTAAACTTAAATTTGGTAATCTGTTGCTGTTGAACTCAGTCTGTGCTTTTTCAGCCCTAATTGATTGGCATTGCTGGCAGATGCTGCACGAAGATTGAACAATCAACTATGTGATATTGCTATTAATTGGGCTGGTGGTTTACATCATGCCAAGAAGTGCGAGGCTTCTGGCTTTTGTTACATCAATGACTTGGTTTTGGGAATCTTGGAGCTTCTGAAGTATCATGCTCGTGTTTTGTATATAGATATAGATGTACATCATGGTGATGGTGTTGAAGAAGCCTTTTATTTCACTGACAGGTAATTTGCTTTTGTTATTGGATTATGAATTTAGCTTAGGAACAGGATTATACATCAATTCAAAAGTTTGAATCTCATCAAAGGAGCCAAGATGCTTTTGTTGGTGATTCACTGCTAGAAGAATTATATACTTAGTGGGTTATGTTTGTATGAGCATTCGCAATGGTTAAATCAGCTTTGCAGACTGTTTCTTTATGATGCCAAGTTTATGAGTCAATGCATCTCTTAGTTTCTCCAAATGTAGAAGAGATTTAGTATTTTCATGTATTTCTGAAATTCTATTTTAATTATTGAACTTTCAGTAATATGGGTCGATAACTGCTATCTCTAATCAAATTGTTGAAACTCTATTATGACAGGGTGATGACTGTTAGTTTTCACAAGTATGGGGATATGTTCTTTCCTGGAACTGGTGATGTGAAGGTTATTTTCAATGCTTTGCTAGTTTTTTTTTCTTTTTTGCAGTAACGGTGGGTAAATTTGTTTGTTAAAATAATTTTTTCATGGCTGACTCTGATAGCTGCTTTTACTAATATTCTCTCAAACCTGAATTTATTGATTTTACCTACTCTATTTCCTGATTTATAGTTTTCCACTCTTTTTAAGTCCCATGTTCAAATAAATATTTTTAATCCTTCGTATATATCGCCTTGCTAAGAGGATTCAGCCCTCTACCATTATTGTTCTTCAGAACGATACAATTGGTCATTGAAATTTTGAAATGAAACTAAATCTTGAAATTTATTTCCTGGCATTTTTCTAAAGTAAATGATCTCTATTAGTAAATTACTTATCATATTGTTCTACATATGCTCTTATTGAGGAGCCAGACATTCATTGTACTAATCTTCTTCTTTGCTTTTGCATTGCAAATTTATGTGAGACCATTACCTACTGTATCGACTTTCCAAGTTAAACCTGTTTATTAGAGAAAGAAAACTATTATAGTTGCTGTGTTCCTTACTGTTATTCTCACCTATTTTTTTTTTAATGCAAGGAAATTATTATCTGCTTCACTTACAATATCCATTCCTCTGAATAGCGGTTATTGATAAATGCTAGTATTATGCCCAGTTGAAATTGGGGTGAAATACTGATACAACTTGTATTGAAGGATATAGGAGAAAGAGAAGGAAAGTTTTATGCCATAAATGTCCCACTCAAGGATGGAATTGATGACACTAGCTTCACTCGATTGTTTAAGACAGTAAGTTCTGAGTTGAAAAAAAAGAAGAACATGATAGAAAGATAATTACTTTGTCTGCCTCTTTACTGTCATAGTATCTAAACATTGTGTGCAAATATCTACTTTTTGTAGATTATTTCCAAGGTTGTTGAAATGTATCAACCAGGTGCGATAGTTCTTCAATGCGGGGCAGATTCTCTCGCTGGGGATCGCTTGGGCTGTTTCAATCTCTCAATTGATGGTACATGAATTGATTTGCTAATTAAGGACTGTTCTCCCCCTTAAATTATTGATGAATATTGAAGTTGTGATGTTATTTGCAGGACATGCCGAATGTGTTAGAATTGTCAAGAAATTCAATCTACCTTTACTGGTATATTTTTTGTTTGATCTACCTTTTAACTGCTGCAAATATGTCATGTTTAAAGTACCGAAAAGAATCTTTTATCCTACAGGTTACTGGAGGTGGAGGATATACAAAAGAAAATGTTGCACGTTGTTGGACTGTTGAAACCGGAGTTCTTTTAGATGCAGAACTTCCTAATGGTATGCTAAGATAATCCCACTTTCTTCTTGACATGCTATGATGAATTTGGCATTTTCGCACTCAGCTTGGCATGAGAACTGGGATGATATAATTTGGTTTCGCAAAGCATCTAAACTTTGATATTTTGTGCAGAAATCCCAGAAAATGAGTATATCAAATATTTTGCACCAGAATGCTTGTTGAATATTCCAAATGGGCACATAGTACGTTATTGCACAATTAAAGTTCATTCAAGAAACTAAATTCCTTATTTCGGTCATTTGATTGACAATTGTCAACTTCAATGCAAATAAATTGTCTCTGATATAGTATTATAGGTAGCATTGTGCAACAATGACCTTGAAGAAGTCCAGAGTGCTCATAGAGGCCTTTGTGTTTTGGTTGATTATGCAGGAGAATTTAAATAGCAAATCATATATTAGTACGATCAAAATGCAAGTGTTGGAAAATCTTCGTTGCATCCAACATGCTCCGGGTGTACAGATGCAAGAGGTGAGTAGCACACAACTAGGTGCCAACTACATCCGACTCTTGATGAGCCAGATACTTGTCTAGGTGGTTGGTTTCTGATTTTCGATGTTAGTTAGAACCATGCCCCATCCCAAGGAGAAGGGACACAGAGAGAGGGAGCTTGTGGTTTTGTTTGAGGGTAAACTTCAGTATACAATGCAGTCAAAATATTGGTATTGTAATTGGCTATCCTTTCTTGCAGGTTCCGCCTGATTTCTATATTCCTGATTTTGATGAAGATGAGCAAAATCCTGATGAGCGCATGGATCGTAAGTAGAACTCGACCCAGGAATAACGTGTATCCTTGAGCTGTGGCTCAACACTTTGGGCACACTTTCTGCCACTTGATTTCTGGTAAAACCTTTTCCTTCAGCATCTAATACTGCTTCATTCTGCATTTTAAATTACAGAGCACACCCAGGACAAGCAAATCCAGCGT